GCTCTCACCTACAAGTCAAAATGCTGCAATACAAAACGTCATAGTATTTTTTTAAATCACTTCTTGGAAGCAACTATTTCAAAGATTGAATCAGTAGTGTTTGTCCCTCCTGTGCTGTAAAATGTCAGCAGTATGAAGCTCTGTAAATATTTATGAAAATGTCAGCATATGTATATCTGATTAGTCGAGGATGGTGGTGTTAGCTCTGGGGTAAGTGACCCAAAATTTGAAAAAATCCAAGATGATTCAAAATTGCTTTTTTTGAGAAGCAAAGAACTTAGTAGGTGCTTTTTGCACCATTTAATGGTATTGTAATACTAAAAAATTAGATCCATCTTCATTTGCAACTTCTGCTGTCTTCTCTGTTCGGATGGTGTGAAAGTCTTTGGACAAAAACAAGGATGGGCAGACACCTCATAGCTTCACAAAGCAATAGTTAAATCGTGTTTTGGTTCTGTGTTCCACGTAGTGTTAACTCAGTTTGTAATAACTAGCTGTTGTGGTCCTGTGGCAGACTACACACACATCATACACACAGCCTGCCATCCCGAGCTCTAAAAACGGTACTAAAGAATGCACTGATGTGCTCGTATTCTCAGTGTCATTGAACTTCAGTGCACTGTAAAATGTTTGAATCCAAATGTTTAAATCGATGTTGATAGGCACTGAGTGATTCAGAACAGTTTATGTAGGTACACTGTGCAAATATGCTATTTATTCCTAGGTGCTACTTTTGAGAGGGGGGAAAAAAAAATAAGGTGCCGTTGTTAATAGCTTACATCTGAGTTCTTAGGCCAGATAGAAAAACTAATGCTTAAGCTGATGGATTTCAAGACCCGACTGACACTGAGTGAGTGCCTGCTAGTCATGCAAATGGTACAAGAATGCGACACAACTCTGATGCAGTTACATTTTTCTTCTTCATACCTTCGCTTTTTCATCATTGACATATTCCACTACTGCCATACACACAAACTGCTCTATCTTAGTTTTAAGGCTCGTTTGCCTTCCGAGTACTGTGTTATGAAATCGTAATAAGATGTGCATACAGGAAGACTGTACACTTCAGAAAATTCCAAATGGTCTTTACAGAAATTTTTGCGACTTTCTGATTTTGGGGGTTTTCAAACTGGAAGAACTGCAGTCTTCTCAGTCCGTGACACAGGTCAATTTACCTTTTTTAGTTCAATTAAGCAAGCAGCTGTATGAACTGAATTTTAAACTGCATATATTGTAGCAACGTTGTATGGGGTGGCTGTAGTCATGTTTTTCACTGTCTAAATGTTAATGCGAGGTCCAATACAGACTGAAAAGCTTCTTGGCTCATGTTGAAGTGATGCGCTTTACTTAAGCGACAGAATACAAACGTGATGGTTTGGGGATGCTTCCGTCCTCCTGCAATTGGGATGTTGCTCACAAAGGCTTATTTTTATAAGGTAGAATTCCACTTGTTACAAATCAATATGCAAAATTGCTGGCCTTGTAAAAAGTGCAATATTATATATTTTTATGTATAAGTCAAAGATTTTTTTGAACTGAGGAATATTTATTCAGCTTAACATTCTGGAACTATTGAAATACCATTGCAATAGTATATGTGCATGATGTACTGAAACCTCCTGTAAATTTCACATTCCACACTGTCTTTGTATACACTGTCACACTGTTGGGTAATAAACAGACCTTTGTATCAAATGGAGATGGCTAGAACCATGTTTTTGGCTTAATTTTACCTCTTTTTGAGAGATTATCTGCTCACTTCTTTCTAGTTCCTGTTCTGCTTGTTCTCAGGTCTTTAACATTTTAAGGTTCTTGAAGGAGGAAAGTTCTGTTTGTGGGCTACATCATGTTGCTGTGAAACTGCACAAGGTGGGGTGTAAGTTTGGAAGTGAGAAACTCAGTTGTACGTATGTGCATGTGCCCCCCCCTTCTCATAGGATGTGGGGCTAGAAGTGGAAGTGATGTATCTCTAAGCAGAGACGCTTCCCGCTCCCACCAGCCGCCTCCTCTCAGAAAACCTAGCTGAGCTGGGGAAAAATGGCAAAGCAGCTCCTTTAGAGGTTCAGGAGGAAAGGAAGGAAGGGAATGGTGTTGGTGGCAGTTGGAGACAGATCTCCTGGCTTCTCTGTGGCAAGGCCTATCTGATAGCCTCACAGGGTTTTTTTGGTGAACTTCTGTCACTGATTGCACTGATGCGTGTAATGAGAAAGGGAAGGCCATGCACTAGTTAGTTATATTTCCATTTGTAGTGGTGAAAGGGAACCTAGATATTGTCCCAAACGTTTGTCCCAAACCCACTATAACAAATAGAAGGAATGAAAGAAGTCCTGTAGAAAACAACGGGCTGCTCCAAAAGTAGTGCATCCTATTTTATTATTTTGGTCTGAGGCTGATGTTGTGGGTATGGCACAGTGGAGGTTGAACCTTCCCACCAACATTCTGTCACTTGTTTGTCTGTGACAGACAGCAGCAGAGGGGCAATCTGACAAAATGATGTCTGACATAGAGTATGAAGCAAAGGTATGGCATGTAATTTCTCCATGTGGTATTAATGGCACCCACTGCACTTGTTGAATGTCTATGGAGACCAAAGAGTGGATGTTAGTACAGGGAGGCAGTGGGTGGTGTGTTTCATCAGTGGGGGCAGTGACTTGTGTGGTAAACCACATTCTGGATGGCCACACCACAAAATGAAGCACTCTTGTTTGTTGCTGGTGAAAATGCATAGCTATCAGTGGTAACTATTTTGAAAAAGTGTTTTGCAGGTGAGAATTTGTTCTATTAAATAGTGTTACTTTGCTCTTTGTCTTTTCCTTGGAAATAAATAGGAAGCATTATTTTTGGAGCAACCTACAAGCACATATGAAGTAAATCAAACAGTATAAAATATCCTGCAGGGGAAAAAGAGGGATTCTGTAAGTAAATAAAATGGTAATTTAAAGAAAATGGAAAAACTTTTAACTTGAAGCCTGAAATACATGGTTAAGGATCTTCTTTGCACTGAAACCCTGAAACCCTATCTATTTCTGAAGAAAGACCCAATGAAGTGTATGTCCCTGAATACTGAGCAAGAGTCTGTGAAAGTCTGCAGAGAGCAGAGTAGGGGGGTAAGAAACCACATGGTTTCAACTTGCAAATTTAGTTCACCTTCATGTGGCAATTGTAGGGTTAATCCGTAAAACTACAGACAACCCGACCTCTGCTGCCAAGAAATGCCCAGATAATGTAAGCTAATGCTCCCTAAAAGCTCATTATGGAGTCCCAAAAGTACTAGTTTTCTTTACGCTTTTTGTGTTGGCGTTTTCTTTTTCTCACATATGAAAACAAGTTGCAACATCCCGTTACTCTACCACAATAACACAAGACTATTTTAAAGTTGTTGCTTGCCTTAAAAAAAAAAATCTTGTAAAATCCACTGTGTGTTTTTGAGCTTCTAGATGTACTGAGAGCATCTTCTTTGACACTGTAGTGAGATAAAACTGCTGACAAACGCCCTCTGTGCTAATGAGATGTGGCAGTTACTTACCAGGTGCTAGCTCTGGGTGGGATCAGAAAGCCACTGGCTTTACACCTGCGTTCCACAACGGGCTGTGCTGTGTATTTCACAACTCGGGTGGGTCGCTGCTGAAAGAGGATCAAGAACTGTGGCTGCTTGGTCTGACTGCACTCTTGCACTTTGCTGGGCTACCTAGCAGAGAGCCAGGCGAAACTAAGCTTGCTCACTTTTCCCCATGAAATTCTAAAATCCTGTTTTTAACACACCTGAATAATGCCTGCAGTGAACATATTGCATACGTTAGTGACGACTCTGATTATCTGAACCGCCTAGTAATTGCTTTGTTTCAGAGCATGTAAATCATTGATATGGTAAACAGAACCTTCGGTAGACTGATGGTGATGCTATTGCATCTGAAAGGAGCAACTCTTCCATAAGCTACCCAATTTTCTGGGACCTCAGTGAAGGTAGGGCCCTGTTTGTACATACATACGTCCAGTAAGGCATTTTGCCCTGCTTGCCTTTCTCCTGCCGCGTTTCCTTTTCCTGAATAACCATCCTAAAAGCCACGGACTCAGTCGTTGCGAGGGGACGTCTCTGCTTCGAAGCACCTTTAAAAGCAGAACTTTGTCCTGCACTGTGTAGAAAACAGAAGTGCCTTGGAAATATTCGTGTCTGATGAGGGGGAGAAGGAGAGGCAGTGGTGGCAGAGGGATGACACACGTGCCTGTTCCTCAACGGGAGCTTGCTATAGCGGATCTCCCATCAGCACGCGTGCTTTTAGGGCCGATTTTTAGTTAACGGCGTTAACTGCCACTGAGCCTTACGGCTGATTCTCCCATTTGATTTGTGTATACTTTTCCCACTACGGCGCTGACTCATTTTGCCGTGCCCCATTAGCCGTGACAGCACAACTCGCGGAGGTCCCAGCACGGGTTTTTTCCACAGCGGAATCTTCTTTCTCTTCACCCTCCCGTCGCAGGGCCGGCGCGAGCTCCTGTGCCAGAGCTGCTCTGCCAGCTCCGCGCTCCAGAAACGCGCAGACGCTCGCTCCGCGCCATTCGCTGGAAGCGTCCCAGCGGCTGACCGACTGCGGGGTGCCGCGGGCGGGTGCCGCCGCCTGCGGGGGAGGAGGCGAGGGCAGGGCGGCTGCAGAGCGGTGCCCGGGGAGCGCCCGCGCGGCCCCTGCCACTGGCGGCCGCGGACGGCTCCCGCCTCGCCGCGCTCAGGGTGGGTACCGGCGGCGCGCGCCGCTCCTCAGGGCCTAACGGCTCCGCGGCGGCTGACGGGCGCGCGGGCAGAGCGGCCGCCGGTGAGCGCCGCGCTCCTCGGGCGCGGGAGCCTCGCCTCGCCGTGTGCCTGGAGCCGCGCGCCGCGGGAGGTACGGGCGGCCGAGTGCCGGAACCGGGCCGAATCTGCCGTCCCGGGGCGGGGCCGGGCGCAGGGAAGCAGCTTCTGCACTTTCCCACTGGCGGGGCTGAGCGCGGGACGGGTGCGCGGCGCTGCTGCCCGGCCGCCGCGTGCGGTGCTGCCGCACAGGGATGCGGGTAACGGGCGGGGACGCCGCCGTCCGGCCGGGGCGGGTGCTGCGCCGTCTCTGTGCCTTACTTCTAGTTGGAACGGTCGCTTTTACCTGTGTATTTCTTTAGAAGTTCGCGAGTACCTTAAACTTCGTCAAGGAAGCGAAATAGCGGAGGGGAGAGTGGGGGTGGACTCTGTGCTGCAGACCTTCTGCTGCCCCGCTGGTGGTGCATGGACAGCATCAGAGGGTTGTCCATGCGAGGTTGGCTGCTGCCTTGGCTGCTGGAGCGCTGAGAAGCGAGTTGGTACTCGCGTACAGAACGCAGCGTGCCGATGTCGGAGCTCGGCAGCTGAGTGTCGTGCAGCGCCGTGTTAGATGGAAACAGAGCCGCTGAAATTGAGCAGGTCTGCAGTTACTGGTGAAGTCACCGCACGCACAGAACAAGAGTTATGTTGTCCCTTTCTTGCTAAGAGCAGCCTTCCCGGTAACCATTTCTGTTGGTGCTACCAGGTGTCTTTGAAGGAGGTGGACTTCCCCTCAACCTCTTCAGTATCTGTCAGCTTGGCACAGAACAGCTGTGAGGCTGTGAATGTTCTGTTTGTATACCCGGTGCGTTTGCATGTGGGTAAACACATACGGGCTCTTTCTGCCATTTTGAGTTTGGTTTGCCATCATGTCTGACTCAGAGGCTGTTCCCAGGTATGTCTGTGCCTGGATTACCTTTGGATAGGGAAGATTACGTTCTGCTGAGGTGGAAGTCCTACAAGATCTGGAGAGGGCCATAACATTCAGTAGTTTTGAGTCCACCATTTTTGATTGCTGAAAGAAAAGAGAATGCAACAGTTTGAGTTGGGGTTTGTCAGATTTAGTTCTGCAGTATACACCTTTAGCTTTACTTTAACTGTACTTGGAGGTGCTAGGGCCGACAACAGCAGGACTAGGGGAAATGGATCCAAGTTGAAGGAGGGAAGATTTAGGTTGGATGTTAGGGGGAAATTCTTTACAAGGAGAGTGGTTAGGCCCTGGAACAGGCTGCCCAGGGAGGTTGTGGATGCCCCGTCCTTGGACGTGTTCAAGGCCAGGTTGGATGGGGTCCTGGGCAACCTGATCTGAATGTGTATGTTTGGTGGCCCTGCTAGGCAGGGGGGTTGGAACTACGTGATCCTTGGGGTCCCTTCCAACCCGGGTGATTCTGTGATTCTGTGTGATTCTGAGGTGTAAGAAAATAAGCTTGCTGTACAGCCTTTCATCCCACTGTAGAAAACTGTACCGTAGAGCTTGAAACTGGGTGTTGCTTCTGTGTTATGCAGTATTTCAGATTCTTTCTGCATTCTTTTTCTTTAATAAGTGTTTAGAGGCTTTGGTAAATGTACATTGCACCTCTTACCTACACGAGGTCAACCTTTACCTGCAAATATTGATGTAACTTCCTGGGTTATCAGGAGACAACTTGGCCTTTGAAGTGCTATAAGGTACAGTCTAATCTACTCTATAAACAATGCAGAAAAGTTGTTCTTTACAAACATTTTATGAGCCCTGAGAGGAAAATCTTTGGCAATCAGTGAACTGCATCCAGGAAAAAAAAAAAAAAAAAAAAAAAAAGAGAGAGAGAGAATGAAGATTACGTGGGGTCAAAAAATCTAACAAGAAAAAAGCCCTCAGCTGAGCAGGATGGGAAAATGCCACTGTGCAGCCTGAGGATATGGCTGACCAGCATGGTGTCAGCCCACAGTAACTGCTCGGCTGGAAAAGGCCATGTAGCTGCTGACCCTGTTCTTTTTAACGTGGTCAGCATTCCCCTTAAAGAGCCATCGAGAACGGATGGATGAACTCAGCACATTACGTAACCATATTCCGGATAGATGAGATCCTGTATGATGTAGGACTACTGGCACACGCCAGTAACATGCAGACTGCACGTAGTCCGTTCACTAACATAGTTACTGTAACTACGGTGACTAGCAGAGCCTGTGTACCTTCGTATCGATCTAACTTAATAGGAGACTGCTGGAAAAACAAGCAGAAATGAACACAGTGAGCACAGCTGAGCACTTTCTGGTTTGAGGATTGTAAGTAACTGAAAAGGTGGGGAGAAGTTATTCCCTGTGGGCATCCTGCCACCACGTAGGATACAAATGTTAGTGTGCCATCCCGGGAGCATGTAGGCCTGGAGAACACCTGAGTGTCTGCAGGGAGTGCTGCAGAGAGTGCTCAGGGCTGTCTGTCAGGCTGTGGGCTGGAGCTGAACACTGAGACAGAGATCCCATGGCAGCACAGCTGGAGGAGTTCTCATCTGACCCCCGGGAATGAGAGTTCACAGAAGGGATATGTAACAGATAGTCTATTACAATTTCTTTTCTCTCCAGAGCTTTATTTCTGAGCAACAAAGTTGTTTCATTAAAGAATATTGAGTATAAGGTTATTAGAGGATATCATAGGATCTGAGGATTCGCAGCCAAAGCTTTATCTGCTAAGACATCATAGTTTGATTTGAGAATGGGAATTACTCTCATAGTCGACGTCACTTAATGTGTGATAGTGTCGTAGCTGATATGCTAGTGCTCTATTTGTGCATGAGGGAAGCCAGAGGTATATTTAGCTTGTGAAGTGTGAAGTAGGAGTAACCTGCCTTATAAATTCTAAAACGCAAACTGGCTATATGGAAAAACAGACTAGACACTTAAATGGATGCTAAGCGCTTCCAGAAATACAGTGGTTAAATATTTAAGTGTGTGTAAAGGTCAGGAGAGGAGCAGGATTTGGAACACAGTACAGCTATGTGCCTCAGGGCATAAACAAAACTCTTACTAGGGATAAACACAAATTTTCTACAGTGGCTGAAATACCTTTGGCCAGATTTTTTTCCTTTTTGAAGTTTATTTATGAAGCCTTCCACTCTGATTGTTTCCTGAAATAGTTTACCAGAGTAATGCGGATTTTCTTCTTATTTTTGCCTCATTTGTTGTATCAGCATGCACTATGCTTGTGGCATCATTTGAGAAAACGGGGTTTGGATTTTTAAAAGCATTTCAGTGACATTTTGACCATCCCTGAATCCCCTTTTCACTTCAAAGTGCTTAAAAACCAGGTGGAATTACTGGAAACACTGTTCTCTTCAGCTTCAGTGCAACCAGTAACATTTCACATATTCTCATTCTAGTGCATAACTTTCAGAGGTTGATTAAATTTATCAGAAAAGCTAAGCAGATCTGGAATTCTCTGTACTGTTCATGGAGTTTCAGTCTCTTAATTCAGTTTAGCTGAAATGCATTATCGAAAATCAGATTTCTTGTTTGCCTCTCAACTCGTGCTGCAGCAAATGGAGACTTGCCTCTGTACTTAGCTTAGATTTTTCATCTCTGTGGTCATTATTAGTCCAGCCATGAAGATGATAACATTTGGTGATTCATATTTGTGGGAGTATCATTTTGTAAACAAAGATAAATGTGTTTGTTCTCATCTTTATAAATGGGTCAAACCTTAAAAGCTAGGAAGTTAGGTCAAAGAGGAAGCCCAGAGATGAGCTTTAATTCAGAACTTTGCACTCTTCTGGCTGCCTGAAAGCCTTTTGTCCTTGCCCACTGCAAGTCAGAACATACCTGAGCTGTTTGAAGACTGGCTGGTGGATTGGCTCTGGGGTTTCTTTTGTACTGTATGTTGCATTTTATCCAAAGCCATTTCTTCCACATGCATTTAATCCTGTGCTCTGTGAGGAGCATGAGTTAGCTGATTGTAGACAAAGACTGAGAGAAGAAGTAACATTTCTGTGTTCTAGCACAGTTTTAGTTAGGGTGCATTTCAGGGAGAAACTCGTGTTCCATCTAAATAGCATTTGCATGCACAGAAAGTGTTCTTTGTTTTGGCATACATTATTTTGGCACACAGTATAATTTAAAAAGTAGCATTTCTTCTTCCTAGGTTTATACAAGTACTGTACAGACTACCTAGGGCACATGGGTTGGAAGTCTAAGGTTCCAGAGTGGTTATTCATCTCATTTGATCTAGCAACAACACTGAGAACTGCATGGTAATGAGTTGACTTACTCTCATGCCCTTAGGAAGGAGCAATTCAAGAAAGCCACTCAAATACTGACCTACCTTAATTAGGTGTCTCTTTGACCAGATCATGCTGTTTGAGCTTGGGTGTAGACCAGGCAGTAATTACATTCTTTTGTCTGAGTATCTGCAGACCAAGATGACTTCTGAAATGCTGCTACTTGAGTACTCCTAAGGGCAGAAAAAAAACAACTTACTTAAAGATAGCTATGAGCTGCAGGGTCTTTGGCACAGACCACTGCCTTTGTCACTCATTTCCCAGCCACGGCCTCACTATTCCCAAAGCTTTCTCAGTAGTACTTCACTTCCTTCAGATTAATCTACTAACAGCTCTTAAGAATGGTAAGCACAGCTATCAGATGCTTAATTGAAATCCCTATGGATATCACTCCTTACTGTACCGGTTCCTTGAACCAGGCATGGACCATCTGCCTTGCCCTCATGGGCAGCAGTTACATCCACATACAGGAATGCTTTCTTGAGCACGCTTTGCAGCTGCTCCCTAAGAGAAGCAGTAAGAGTATATTAGAAATGCCTGGAGTAAATGGCAACTTGATGTGAAACAGAAAAGTAGGAGGCTGAGGATGGGAAGAGGTGCAGAACTAGGGTTCCTGCCCCTTCATCAGAGCAGATGTGTATGCTTGCCCATATTAATCCCTTGTGTGTCCTATTTGTTTCTGTTCAGACAAATGGTAGTGATTTCCCAGATTTGTAAATGATCAGGCTGACAATGAAAAAAATACCAGCTAACAATTATACAAACAATCTCTTTGCTTTTGGTCAATTCTTTTTACAACTCCAAGTGCATTTAAGGTCAAGCTTTTTTCTGTACCAGCCCATTAGACTACTTTTCTGAATGAGTTCATTTAAGGAAATTACAGTGGCTCTGAGAAGTAGTACTCATAAATTGAAATAAAGAGCTGCATCAAAAGCCTATATCAGTAACCATGAGGTGGTGAGCAGAATGTGCTTGTGTGATACAGTTTTATAGTAATTTAGTTGCATTTTTCTGATCTTTTTCTCATGTTAGTAGGTGTAATCAGGGTGTGGAGCCAAACTGCATAGTGACTGAAAAGTCACTTTGTGAACAGCTGTTCTGTGCTGGCACTCTGAACCAGGGTAACAATTTCTGCACTGGAACACTGGCAGTGTAATCTCATATTGTTTGCAGAATTCAGACAGTGCTTGCAGTTGAAGGTGCAAATACGTGATGCAAACAGGTACTATTGAGTAAGGGAACAGGTATAAATGATATGTGACTTGTATTTGTAACCCACAGCCTGGCATGGTCAGTATGGTGGGGTGGGGTTGGTTAGATTTTGATAACTGTCTTCTTCCTAATTGGTGCATTTGCTAGCTATACTTCTAAACTGTCTCAACTTTGCCTCCTCCAGGGAAACAAAATGAAGGAACTAACGTCAAACAGTACAACCAATATATCTCAAGCTAGGAAAGCTGTGGAGCAATTAAAAATGGAAGCATACATGGATAGGATGAAGGTAAACTGAGGCTTATTTTTCATATCTTGAGTCCGTTTCATTTGAATTCATTTGTGGTATAACCTCCCTCCAAAAAGACCTGATCACCTGAAATCAAAATCCTTATTGAGGAATAACACAGTATCAGGTCATAAACTCACTAATTAGAAAGACAGTATTTATGACTCAGAAATATTAGTACAACTGACACAAATAATCAGTCACAAATAAATTTCAGTTGTTTCGCCTACTAGTGCTGTCTTGTCAGAGACAGCTGAATTTGCATAGCTATAGTTTCTATTTTGTATAGTATCTTGACAAACTCATTTCAGATAGAAGTACACTCATAGAGATGGGTATTTCTGCTTCCTTCAGTATGGCTCTGCCTTTTCAGCATAACCGTGCAGGTTAATTTTCATTTGAATCAGTCCCTGATTCAGGTCATGTTGCAGCTGTGTGAACAACAGAACTGACAAGGAGGAAAGTTAATGAGTGGAAGAGGGAAGGGCTGGAAAAATGTGGGCTAGTTTCTTGTAATTTGAATTGTTGATCCTTAGTAGATTATTTAGAACTTGCTTTTATATAATCAAACTATAACTTTCAAGTATGAAATCATTAGCTCAGTTATGCAGATAGCTTCATTTGTTAGATGTATAATGACATTCTTAATTACATATGTAAGAATTACATAGGTTACTTTTTGCAGTTAGTTTAATTAAAAAGAACACAGGCACTAGCAGGACCTAACAATCATCTGGCTTGCAAGTGTAATTATTTTACCTTTCAGCTTGGGACCAAAAAAGACACCAGAGACGTTGACATGTTTCAGTATTCTGAAATACATGATAACATAATGTATAGCTAAAATATAACTAATGCTTATATTATACTAATACAAACTAAATGTGATCCACAAAAGGCTGATGTCTTGATTTCTAGAACGCCTTTGAATAAGTATATGAGGGATTATGAAAAGAGGTTGGTTTCCTTATTTCAATATCTGTTTTCCTTTTCATCTTTGAAATGATTAAGTGTGCACTTGGCAAATTTTGCCAAGAGGCTTCAAATGGTTCCAGTAGGAGATTTGAGTTTTCAGATCATAGCTGCAAAATTAGAGAAATGTTATTTTTCCTGGCTTCTTGCAACTACTTAAACTAGCTAGGCATTTAACAAAAGATCAGCCCCTTCAAAATAACTTAATCAGACTCTCTTTTGCAAGTTATTAGCCAAGTAGTTATTCCCATAGTAGACAAGACCACATTGTTAACGTTAAAAAGATACTTTTCAAAGTACCTATGTTGTTGACCAGGGAAAACAAATGTTCCAGCTCATTTTTCTGCATCAGAGGCACTTTGTTTTCTGTGGACAGCAGTTGCAACAATTAGGTCTGCTCAATAAAAGTTCTGTAGTTAAGATACATTTATAGTTACCCATTCCCTACTGTATTCCAGGTGTGGGTTTTTTTTGTTTTTTGTTTTTTTTTTTGTTTTTTTTTTTTTTTGTTATGAGTTTATAATCAAGTCCTGCAACCATTCAGAGCAGCAAGCAATGCAGCGTTTTGGGGTTCAACAAAAACAACTCAGTGTGGAAGTGTGAAAGGAGCAGGGCAGCTATAAAAGAGAAGATGAAGTTATTGGCACGTGGATTGGTTGCAGTAAGGTGTATTACTGTGGTGGGTTTCTGTAGACCTTAAAAATCCCTGAAGGATTGTAAATCAAACCTGTCTTACTTCTCTGCAGAAGGAATGGCTGGGATTATAACAAAGTAAATAGAAAGCAGGAGGTGCAGATTCAGAGATAGAAAACATGAAATGAAATCAGATGAACAGTGGCCTCGTGACTTGTAGAGTAATGCATCTGCCAACGCTGTAAAGTTGAGAAAGCAAAGATAATATTGGTGCTTTATCACTGCTGTCCCAAGTATAAAGCACTATTTAATCTTCCCTTCAAAAGCAGAAAAGCAAGGAGGAGTGGTCTGACATTAAGCATCATAGTGTATCAGCTATTACTACATTTTCTTTTTTCTTTAAGAAGATAGAAAATATTCCTAGCAGATCCTGAATAGTGTTGGGAGATAAATGTGGTGGGATTGGCAATATATGTGTGTGAATCTCTTTGTTTTAGATGTAGAGGATAAGCAGAGTGGGTGTCTAAGCAAAGGTGGTAATTAGTCACAACCTATGACAAGACAGATGACATAGTAATTGCAGCATTTTGCCCTGTCACTGAAGCTTGTAATTATTAGTGCAGCTAACAGGATTATGTTCTAGCTTTGGCTGTTTTTATCACCTCTGTTATTCTAAAATGTAATGTAAAATTCCACAATCCTCCTAAGACTGATTCTTCAAAACATCAGAAGCATCAGAGTTGAGTGTTTTCGTCTTGTTTTGTTTGACTTTTTCTTTTGGTAATTTGACAACCAGACGTATTTATCATTAAAAAATATATATATACTTTTATAAAATGTGAGATTGATGTGATACTGATGTATTCCATCCCCTCCACATAAACAGCTTTAGATGTTTTTAAAAAATGAAATGCTGACTTTTTGCTAGAATTCATCAATCAAGCTGGAGTCCTATATTTTTTTTAGCCACTTCTGCAGTATGTAAAAATTACTTTTCATCTGCAGAGCGAACTATTGCACAGGTGAACTGAAATGATAAATGTGTGCCAGTTTTGTTTGAATATTCAAATTAGATGCTTTTACTTTAAGTCTTGCTAAAAGCTGACCAGAAACTGCCTGGCAGTATTCCCCTAAAGGTGAGTAGAAGCCATGGTAGACTGGCCTTGCCTTCATTTAACTTCCTCTATGACAGAAATAGGGCGAGTAGCACACTATTTTGTGTGGTAACAAACCAGAGTGTTAGCCAGTAGGCCACCTCTGCATGCTGACACATGCTAAAAAAAGCTATCTATCTATGCTGTAGCTTTAATATAATGCGTAATGCAGAGGTCTTCTGCCACCGTTGGTCTGAATAATCACACTGAGCAGGAAGTGTACTGGAGGCAAAACTATATTTCGCTTTATTTTTTTGGCCACCGCTCTGAATTTGGTTCCTGTGGCTGTGAGCACTGTTGGCAATGTGTTCGCTGCTGCTGCAGTGTGATCATCTAATTTAACTCTCCATACTAAGTGGTCATTTTTCCACTGCACAAGCATGAGCTATTTCAGTTCTTCAGTGAAGAAATTGCTATAATTCAGTTTCATAACCAATGTAATCCTCATGGGAGGATTTCTCCTCCTCACACCTTTTCTTGCTTAAAGGATGAAAATATACAGCCTAGTGCAGGCTAGGAGGCTGAGTTTGTGATAACGTACAGAAATCTGATGATGTTCCTCAGTACCATCCTTTTCATTGCTGTATGATGACTAAGCACAGTAATATGTAGAGAAACAATTAGAAAATTATATCCCTGGATTTATACCTTCAAAAAAACAAAGCAACATACTTGGGCTGCTGCAGCTTATCCATATGTGGAACAATCATGACAATTATGGGTCATCTTATATCAATCTGCTTAAGAAGTTGTTGGCTTTGTGAGTAAAATATTTCCTAGTAAACTTTCTCAGTACCCTGTTGAAGACGAGCATGCTGAGCATCTTTAATAAATCCATTATCCAGGACCTAGAGAACTAGAGTAGGTCTCCATTAGATTTTATGGTAATAAAATTTATTATGATATAGAACTGTAAATGCTATTGAACCTTTTTGTAGGCACCTATGGCTCAGAATTTAACTTGCTCTGTTTGTGTGAAAGACAGTTCAGGACCAAATAAATCAACAAAAGCATAAAACTGCCTTAATTGGATAAATGCAGCTGAGCTCGAAAGAAATAGAAAAGTGGAAATAAATATACCTGTGATTGTCATTACCTGAAGATACTTCTCCAAGATGCTGTGGTGTACATTCCTCCTGCAGTTACTGGAAACTTGTTAAGTTCTTTGGTGAATGAATTTTCTGCTCATTTATATTTTCTTGAGGTCCGCGCAAGTCATTAGCACAGAAAAACATCTTTGCTGTTTTTTGAGGCTCTATACGAATTTAATAATCAGTCTACATTGTGCTTCTCTTTGGAAAACCTGCTGTTCAAAAATTCACACGTAAATTTAAAATTGTGAATATAACATGCCCGCACTTTTGGCTATTATAGCTCTACCTCTGCCCAGCTTTTTGTCTTGCAGACTAATTCATAGCAAACTAATTTTAAGTAACCTGAACACACCTGCTTCTTCAGCTGGGAAGCCAACCATAGAAAATCTGTGGGTTTCAGCATTCTGTAAAGGCATATTTAGTAGATATTTTAAAGATAGAAAGTCACTTCTTATCTTCTGGCAGTTAATTTAATTGTTGTGTGAATCATGATTTGATATCCATTGACTTTGTAGAGCTAATCTAAAGCCTACCACAAGATGGACTTTTGCCAAAGCAAGCAGAGTGTGGGGAAGCTAAAGCCAACAGTGATGACACACCTGTCATAAACATATCTGAAATCAGATTTATTTTTCCTCTTTGCTATATTTGTGCAAAGATGCTAACTTCAGTGTTTGACAAAGGAAAATCTGTCCTGGTGATCAGGGGAAAGACTTTGTAAACTGTCTCATTCTCTTTATCATAATACTGAAAATGCAGTAATTCAACAAAGCGAAGAAATGCAGATAATTGTCAATATCTTGTGAACTGAACAGAAGTAATTCATGTCTGTATGAATGTCCTAAGTTCTTGAGGGGAAAAAATCTCCCGAACAATTGAACGACAGTATTCTCAAGTCACAAAGTTGGAAAAGTTTGAAGATTTTAGCTAAACCTCAAATAGTTTCATCTTTCTTTCTTGCAAAACTTCTTGAATATCAAAACACTGTTACATTCCTATAAGGAATGTATAGCTTATTTATAGTAAGGATAAGCCAGATTTTAGAATTTGGAGATGTTACAGTTTTTTATTTTAGAAGAATATTTAAGTGACGATCAAATTTAATGTGATGACTGAAACATTACTTAGAATAGTTTACTAAACAGAAGATAATAGTCTGAATTATCTCATTTAACTTAAATGAGAACTATTATTCAAATTATTATTTTTACTCCCCATTTAATATTTCATTTCTTAGTTCCATTTCCATGCTCACATGCCTCAAGATCTTTTTTTCCACATCCAGATGTGGAAAGGATAGAGAGAGTCCGTAGAAAACTTTGCAATTTTGCTGCTTTGATGCCTGGGAATAAGAACTGAGGCAGAAGGCCTCAGAAGGCACGTGTCTACAAAGACATTTGTCATGAAGGATCCCTTTTGCTTACAACCAATCAGCAGATGGATATTTCAGTGCGTATATTCTCCTGACCTCCCTACTGATGGAGATGAAAAGCTGAATATAAATCATATAAGTCAATACCATGCCCTGTCACTGGGTTAGGTAAAGTGTATATGAGGCTTACTAGGAATAATAAGAGCAAATTCAGAGCTATGGAGTCTGATAACATGAAGAGTAAAGCAGTTTACTGTTTGAAGACAGTTTCCAATTCTGCACGTTACATGAAGAATATTTACGCACTGCCAATTGGTTTGGATTTAAGTGTTACAGTGGTTCTTCTTTTTTCTTCTGGTAGGTATCCAAGGCTGCAGCAGACTTACTGGCATACTGTGATGCTCATATTGGAGAAGATCCCCTTATTATCCCAGTGCCTGCATCTGAAAATCCCTTCAGGGAGAAGAAACTCTTTTGCACAATCCTTTGAGTCGGTTTTCAAGTAAAAATATTGTATGTTAAAATTTGGTATCAGTGATGCATGTTTTTGGATTTAGCATATCTTCCTCGGATATCAATATTTAACCTAGGATGACAGTGTTTTTAGAAGGTAGTGCATTTCCTCTTAATAAATAAATAAAATAAAAATAAAAATCTTAAAAAAAATCAAAGTAATCCTTATTTTTCAGACCAGTGCATAAATTTCATTTCAGTTTTCATAAACGTTCCGTGGTTCTTAATGAAAGTATCTAGAACAGTATCGAGTTGTAGATATCTTTGGCAGTCATAGATTTTTCTGAGACCTAAATGAGTCATACCAGCTATGAAGCTATTTTTAACATTCTTATTTTCTTCAGAAGGTGAATTTAATTCATCTGCCTTTACAAATTTTTATCTAAAAAGAGTAGTGTGACCTTTCCACGAGAGGCACTATTAAGGAAAAAATGCCAGTGATCTACGATGTTTGGAACGGTCAGTCTTTATACAATAAGTGATGTTTATAAATGTGTTTTGTGAAAGCTGTAATAAACTGGACTACAAAAACGATCTGAATAAGGAAGTACTGTAACTACAGGTAAAATGAAGATGCATGGTTATATACTATGACTGCATCAATAAAACTTTGGGGAAACATGGCTGGTTGCATCCTATTTTGAATGATGATGATTTAAATTATTTTAGAACGTGAAATGATGTGTAATGTATCATGTCTTCCTATGGGGCTCAGGGGAGGGTGTAAATTCTGCCCTGATCAGTACTGGAAGGTGGATTACATTTTCTAAGCAGCTCTCTACATGCTTTCACCATTTATGGGTATGGAGGGCAATAGTAAAAAAAGGTTATGCCAGAATACTCATCAAGACCACCATGACATCAACAGGCACTATGCTTGTATGTTTTGAAGCCACAGACTTCAGGCACCGTGAGAAAAGTTATCAGCAAGTTATTTGCTGAGGTTCTGAGAGGTTTTTTCTTACGGCTTTGTCTAAAGTGCAACTCAAGAAAAAGAATGAGGTATGGAGGAATATGAATTAAGCTCAACTGAGGTGCCTACTTCTACATGTATAGTGGAAATTTCCCTCCATGAGTGCATATGAAGTCAGCCCCACAAGTGAGGCAGAAAACAATTTTGTTAGAAAATTCTGTTACTCAATAAGTCAGTGCTTCAAACAGCCATCCATAATGGAACAGAAACTTGGATTCCTTCTGTGCCCTAAATACCTGCAAGATGAGGTGCTGAGTCTTGTGAGGTACTTGCATGTTCAGTTTAGATGCTAAAAATTTGGTGGTTTGATGAATGAAGTTTGCATTTAGCCCAAAGTGCACGTTCTTGCCTCTCAGTGTATTTTTAGCATTTTCTGTCAATGTCTGTTGTACTGTTTTGTGCAGGAGAAATATAACATGTCTTCATTGGTCAGGTTTAGCTTTCTTTGCCAATAACTTGAGTAATATGATGCAGCCACCTGCATTATCTACCAGAGTGCACACAGATGGGTTTGGAGGGGGTTCCACTGCAGGCTAGCTCCTTCACCAGATCAAACACCACACCTACATATTTATTCATGAAATATTCTTGAAAAATAACATTTTAGCATATTATAGTAGCATTATCATAAAAAATCATATTCCTTGTAACCAACAGAGTTTCATGATGCCTTTCATTTAAAGGTTTGTTTATTCATTTGCCAACTGAGGACATGGACAGTCTAGTTAGCACAAAGCTTTTTCACAGTGATTATTCTGAAAAACATTCAAACATCACGAGTAGGTCTTTTTATTTAGGCTCTGTCTTGGCTCCCATTCCTAACTTTTAACAATATTTATTGATGCTTGTCATGCTCTGCTTTATTTTGGAGGGTAGAGAAACAGGCTTTGGCTTACTTCAGCAGTGAAATAAAAATAGCTTTCTGAAAACATTTGTTAAAAAGGAGCAACAAAATGCTTAATAAGGTTCTTTAGGGAATCCTTCCTACACAGTAAATGGCTCGGTATCTGCTCTGATCACCATGACAACATTTTCATTTGTTCTTCCACATGTATGGTTTTCACTGGAACAGCAAGGAAGAGGAATATAGGACATACTGCTTAATTCTCAGAGGCTTTGTAAAAACTTGCATTTGTGTCTCATCATTAACACTCCCGTCTAACATAACAAAATCGCTGCAGCTTATTACAGTAGTGCAAATAGCTTGCTTTCCTCTTCCAATTAACATCTGGAGTCTTGAGATTGAAACATTTTGTGATAGCTTTGAACATCACTCATTTTAAGAGCTGTATCTGCAAAAACTCAATGTTACCCAGAAAAGGTGATGGATTGGTTTGTACGCAAGATTTTTCTGCAAAAAGAAAAGAAAGAAAGCTTTTCTTGAGTGGTTGTGAACATACTGAATCTCTTACAAGCTTAATAGCTGGCTTCCTATGTTTGTGGTTTCTTTCATCAGTTCTTGAGATAAAAATTCTCTCTTAAGGTGGCTTCATGCTTCTCCTGTTAAGGAAGGAAACACACTGAATACTGTAAATTGCATATTTATTATAGCTGATATCTATAATGTACCTGAAGAAGTTCAATTGTGTAAGCGTAACACTTCATTGGAGAACAGGACAGCCTTCTCCAGTATCACTGCACCTTATCTGCTAGTTCCTTGAATAAATATATACTACTGGTAAACTGCTGGGAGGAGAACTGGTAAAAAAGAAACCTGGAGGATGAGAAGTTCAAAATAATTTTAACATCTTTGGATCATTTAGGATCAAAATACTGTCCCACTAATGAAAAGGACATCATCTGTTGGGTTTTTTTTTTATGCCAACTTGGTCCAAAAGTCAATCTTTAGAAGAATGTATTTTCTTCCTACTCTTGCAAACCATAAAATGTCCTTGTCATTATTGTATTTTTTGCTGCTTTGGCGTTTGATTTAGCTAATCTGCTATTGATATTTGAGTTTCAAATATGCTCAAACACTTTATCTCAAACTCTACAAAAATATACCTAGAATTTCTTGAAGATTTTTCTAAAAATAGGTGCACATCACTTCATGAAGTACAAAATGTTTTCAAAAAACAATAAAAAACAGCCCTCCAGAATACGGCTTTGTCCAACAGAAAGGTTTTTTAAAGGCAGAAGCAACGAGTTTTTATTCTCATCAAACTATCTGATTTGGTTCCCACTACCTTCAGTGAGAATAAGACCAGGCCATTTACCCTTCTAGTGTTGCACTCATCTCCCAGAGCTTTATTTCATATGCCAGTAGAAATACTGTGTATTTCAGGCCCAGAGAACAACGCATGTTCACTGTTAACCATGTGAGTTGCAGCTGTCATCTCATGTAATGAGAAACTTGGAACAGAAGTTGGATTGAAGAAATTTCAATGTTAGTAAGATTTCTTCATACTCTTTCTTCCTTGTGTTTGTGCTACGATGAAATAAGACTTCCCAGTCATAGATTAGTAGTAAACTATAGTGTATCGATATCATCTGTAGGGCTGGATGGTTTGCATTCCTTAGATCAGTCTCCTTGTTTTATGTTGAACTTAAAATGTAATCATTTTGATATTGAAATTATTTCCTACTGTATGGTAACTCTTGAGTTACAGCCTGAACCACAGATTGAGCATCTGGGGAAAGGACCGGTCAGCCCTGGGAGCACAGGTGAAGGCAATTCAGCTGTGTGACTGGAAAGGGTGGAGCTCAGCTGCACATCTCTTAGACATCATTTAAGGGCTGACTGATGTCTGATTGGAGTTCTCAGTCTTGTGAAGTTTTTTTCTGTGGGCCTAGATTCCCTGGAGATGGGTGAGCTGTCCTTCTTTTCCTTCCTTTTTAGCACCTTTCTATTGTTAGTCCCTCAGTCGTTACATGTCTTGTATCACCTTTCCATCATATCAATCTCTCTGATTGTTACAGCTACTCTACTGTATATCAATTTCCTCTTCTTTGTTTTCTTCATCGTGCATTAAATTAGCAGGAGGCTGCTGGGCTACCAATAACAGGTAGGATTTTTAAGCTTGTCTCCATGAAGCTATGGAGAAGGTAGATGAACAAATGGAGGTAAATTTAAGTTATTCTATGTTGCGCTACTGATTAAAATAAATATGAACTTTGCTGTCAGTGATGCAAAGGTAAATGCAGGAGCTGTTACCAGGAGGTTCTGAGAGGCATGGTAACAAAGAACCTTTGTTCAGGATATATACCAGGGTACGACGAGATAATGACGTTTTATTGCAGAGACTTACAGCAATGCCATTAACCGTAGCAGAAGGAAAGAACAGTCAGGAAGATTAATGCAGTAATTGTTTATTGAGTTGAATTTCTTTTATGAAAGGAATAACAAAAAATGGACTCTGGAAAGACCTGAAATATCAGCTTTCCTATATAAAAATCTGTATCCATCTATCCTAGAAAATGCCATGGTTATGGCTAATCTTTGGGGTTGCTGGATTTCTTTCTTCAGAGAGACTAAAGGAGATGTTGGGGGAAGGGCAAGTTCCTTAGAAATAGAGGTTTCTTGTATTGAAAAGCAATAATAATGAGTTTAAGTCATTACACTGTCTTACATAGTACTATGAAGTATGAAAAACAGCAGGCAAAATTACAAGAGTGCTATATGAAATGTTAAAGGCATCTGCGTATTCAATCTTTGGGGAAAATGATATTTGAAATATACATTACATATTTGCATCTAATTTGTTTCAGGGTTATGACACGATTAAATTAAGTACATCAAAAAATACCACAACTGTTGTGGGAAGAACTTCTCTGTCTGTTATAGGAAGATGTACGTATGAGGCATGAAGTAGATTTTCACCACCTACATTTGTGAACGCACAAAAAGAGCAACTTTACCTTAAAATAGGCTTTTTTTTCCCTTCCTAAATTTCTTTTATGAAGCAGAAATTGTGCAGGATCGTCTATGACTGCCACCTATTGGTACACTGACAAACAGCCAGCTGAGACAGGAAAAAAGTATCAAGCCTCAACTAGAATGGCCTACAAAGAGTACTTTAAATTATTAGGTGCTGGACAGCAAGCACTTCAGTTTTCATGGTCTGCACTTGGTAAAGCATCACCTGCAACTTCTGAGACTTCAGCAGTTCAGTTCCAGACTTCTCAGTTTAGGAGAAAATGAATATACAGATTGGCTAAATAGGTCATAAGAAAAAAGAAACAATAACTAAACCTTTGGGACAGTCTTAGAGGGTATGAGTCAGAGTTGCTGTGTATTCCTGTCTGGAATTGCATTTTCCAGTTTGAAACATTACTCTTCTTCGTTACCAAATGCAACCAGTTGTGCCACTATTTCCTCTTTTCTCCTTTCATCAGCGATGTCATTACAAACTGCCCTGAGTCGTGGTACAGTGAGCCTCTGGTAATGAATTTTGCTTTCCTTCCTCTTTGCAGAACTGTGCAAGAGCTTTCATGTGGCTGAGAGCTGCATTATTCCTTTGTTCCTGGCTTCCATTTGTTGTTGTAGTTGTTGCTTTTGATGTTTGTTTGTTGCTTAATTTTATTTCTGAGTACTACTTTCCAGTTATTACAGTCTAGGAAATACTTTTCCCTATACCACAGGGTAAGAACTCAGACAGAATAGAACGCAGACCTCTGCCTATGTTCAGAAAAGTATTTTACTGAAAATACACGAGGTATGGCATAACAATCTGTCTGTTACGTGTCCTCTCACTGTGCTATGCTCTGTTATGCCTTTGAACTTCAGGCTGCTTACGACAGCCCTTTGTTCTTTGTATAGCGTACTCTACAGAGATGCACTGTTGTGGTGGGTTTTTGGTTTGGTTTTTTGTCAGTGAAGGGAAGGGATGACCCAGACATTCTGTTAACTTTGCATTTATAGGAAAGATCCACTGTGACTTCTAAAAGTCTTTCAATTTGCCATGGCTTTAAAAATCTTTATGGTGTAACTGCTGCTCTCTGGCAAGTGTAGCTCACTTGAATTTTTCTGTAAAACTGTTCTTACCTTTCTTGTTGCAAAGACTTTCACTACCATAGCTCCTGATCATGATTCTTGTCTGAGAGATCTCCCTGAAGACAGCACACAAATCTTTCATTGTATTCACCAGAACACAACAGATATGAATTTCCAATACATATTTGCAGTGTTGATACATGAACGTAGTAGTATTCGTATGATGACAGTCATATCCTCAGAAGATTAAGAAGAAACTTCAGGTATTAAGATTGCTATGAAAACAAAATCCAAATGGAAATGCTGAGAATATAAGGAATATCTTGGTAATATCCTCTTCAAGGTCTTTTCTACTCAGATTGTACATATTTGCTTCAGATTGTGGAAAACGTCTATAGAGAGTAGCTATAAAATATCTGTTTGACAAAAATCAGGAGACTGTAAACAACTCTGTCTATACCAGCTTAAAAAAAAAAGTTTGCAACAAGACCAAACACATTCATGGGTATTAAAACAGCATCTGAACACAAATATATTAAAAGATCACTAAAGTGGCTAAGTTAAACACTCTTTTAAGAAATGTCAGAGCTAAATTTGCTTATGCAACTTCCACTTGCCTCTCTAATTTGTATGCACTACTATTACACACTTACACTGCAGGAATTCCCACAAGGCATGGTATAGGCAGTGCTCAGTTAATGAGCAGTTCTTCAATAGTGTTTTGGCATCTTTATTCATTGCGTAGCCCCAGGCCTCATTTACTTACAAATTCTGCTTTCAAGGCAGAAGCAGTCCCTGATGGACTTTGCTGTGGTGCTCATGACTGACTGCTTCACAGAGTATCTCCACAGAACCCTGCAGGAACAAGAGGGTGAAAGTACTCCCAGTACAGTGCAAAGCCGAGGCTGAGCAGGACAGGTGGAATTGGCAGTCCTCGCCTTCCCAGAGCGCTTAGCTTCCTCAATATGTGAAGCAATGTTTCTCACTTGCTCACGCTTCACCTGCAACTCCTCACCGCTACAAACTGGAGTGACTTTTGCAAGCCAAGTGCCCAGAAACTGAAGGAATAAAACAATGTAGAATACTTGGTTTCATGATTTTTCTCCTATCCCACGAGGCGATGACAAATCCAATCCTGAGCAGCAACGAGCCTACCTTACCCTTGTAACGGTTTCTTTCATGGTCCCACCTCATTCATACTGCGTCTCCTGCAACAAATGAATCAGCCATCTGGCACATTTCTCGCATCCATTCTAAGCAGGGTAAGCACCGTGTGGGCTAAAGAGCCTCCAGTCATGTAAAAATAAGCCTGTGTACCGTCTATCCAATGACAGTTAATAATAAAATGGCGATAAATAGCACAGAGTCAATCTGTTTTGTAATACACTCAACAGCTTAACGCTCTGCCAGCTGAGTGCTTAAAAAGCATACTTGCTGCCCTAGGTCTCTGCAGGACTTCTTGGAACCCCTAACCTCTTATATCCACATCTTCAAGCCTTTCTACCTCTCGTTAAAAATAGCTGTTTGTTAGCTAGGCACAGAGTACCTAACCCCACGCCTGGCTGTTGCCTGGTTATTGGCTATTTCAGACTAATTCAGCTCTCTGCAAGACGTTCCTGTTTGTTCTCTGCCTGTCAATGTGTTGTTGCTACCATATGGGCGGTTTTGAGTCTATTTCTATGTTTTTGATTGTTGTGATAATGACAAGGAGTTACATAAGAATTGAAACATTACTGCTGTATTGATAGATCTGGATCTCTGTGGTGCTCTGCAAAACTGGTTTTGTGTGGCAGTTCATGTGAATTCTTGTGCAGGTTGGGCTGATTCCAATTAACAAAAATAAAACTGAACAACCTCTTCTTGCCAAAGCATTATAAGGATTATTCTAATTTCTAATTAACTCCTTCTAAAATAGAGCATGGTGACCTGTTGGTGAGAGGAAATGAAGTGTGGAGCTCCATCTTACCATGAAGGAGAAAGAGATGAGGAATTTGGATTACCTTTGTCTGAATATGCGAGAGCTGTTTCATTGTCTGGTTCTTGCAATGCTAGTGAAAGGAAGACTCTACGGGAAATCCCTGGATCTCAGAGAAGCCATTCTAAACTGTGGCTTCTGCTACAAATCAGCTGTGTGCCAAAATGGTTAAAGCTTCTGTACAGGAAACATCAGGGAAGAAGAGCAAGTTTGGATGACATAAATCAGCAAAGCTTAAAGGCTTACCAAACTTCTCAAATTTGAGTGTGAAACAGATTGTTGTCACTGCAACGCTCAGCCCAAACAGCGACAGTGTGAAATAGATTCAAGAAGCTCATTCTCCAATTGAGAAGCACAGGACAGCCTACATTAAAAAACAAATAAATAAATCCCCTGGAATAAAACCAGCGCAACTTACGACACCCTGCAGTGCTCTAGTTTTGGTGGGTCTTACAGATCCTAGCTACAGGTTGTTTTAATACCAACTATATGAAGGGATTGCGAGATTTAGTTCTGTAGCAACCAAGCCCTGAAGCACTGTGGTACTGCTATGGAGAGTCCAGTCAATGTGGTTTCTGTGAAGGCAATGATGCCTTTTTGACCTTCTTAGTTCTTTGAATCTCTGACTAAGGGGGAACAGAGAGTAGAATCAGTAGTCGTAACGTATCTGGACTTTTTTTTTGTGTCTAGTAAGTCTCCCTTGGGAAACTATTAAGGAAAGTAGCCCTGGGCAAAACATTGTTAGATGCTTGCTTCTATCCAGTGTACAAATGAGCACAGGCCTGATGCCACACTAGCTGCACACCGTGTGCTGTGCAAAGCTTTCTACTAGGATCTCTGTTCCTCTCTGCATCAGCCCTAGACTTGCCTGGTCACATACTGTTGACTTGTCTTTCCTGCTGCTAGCTATATGAGCTGGCAGCCCTTCAGAGAGAAGCCTGCCTGCCTTCCAGCCTGCCTTCCAGAGATCTTTTTTTCACAGGAATTCCTTTCTGTCCTCAGCAGATCCCAATTATACTGACTCCATTAAACAACCAAGAAGAGGAGTCCGGGGACTCACCTGCTTCTGTACTTCACCCTGATCTGAAAGCAGAAAGGGGAAGCAGGGAAACATTGCTTCCATTTGGGAAAATAAACAAGATCGATATCTTCTGATGATCCTAAAGAAAGGATTGGTAACCCTCAATACACACAGTGAATCTGTCTAGGTTATGAGTTTAGCTTATGAGAATTATGTACACGGGCTAACAGATATTAAAAATCTGAATGCTGCAGACAGGCTGATCATGGTGTGTAACTGCAGCTCTGGTGTGTCAGAAAGGACAATGCCTACCCAGAGACATTATGCAAATTTAACAGAAGCATCTTGTGTTTGCAAGCAGCCTGGGGACTTACATTTCGGTCTCCTCTCTCTCCAGTTCCTGTGCCCAACATGTTGTGCTGTGCTTCATGTGCCAGAGGGACAATCTGAGTCTGTAACATCAGAAGAATACATGTGCACAGTAAGAACAGAATGAAAACTGTATGTTTTGACTGAACAATACATTGTGAGTATATTATTGTACAGAAAGCAAGGGCAAGGTATTGAGGAATGTGATCCTCTGTTTTGTCTGCAAGTAATTATAACTCCTGGACGTATTTATAATTAAGTTCCCATCAGCTCACCTGCCCATGGAGGAAACTTAACATACAAGTATGAGGAGTACAAGCAAATGTACAGCAGTGATAGCTGTTGGACCTGTTGTTATTTCTGCAGCTGAATCTGCAGAGGGGCAAGGCAAGTGTAGCCATTAATACCAATAGCATATTTGTGCAAATACTTTACCTACTGCTATTGTTTGCTGACAAATACGCACTCAATTGCATATTAAATATGTTCATGTATGCAAACACAATAAAGCAGATGTATTTCCAACGTGGTTTTTTTTTCTGTTTATACCCAAAATACGTATGATAAAGTCATTGGTTTTTCCTTTCAATATCTCACTCCTGTTGAAAAATGAATCTTAGTTAAGCTATGTGAAAGGACTTTAAATGTTTTCCAATCATTTTCACAGCTTGATTTTTTCAAGAACAGATTTAGGCTTCTTTTCTACAAACTCAATCCTTTCTTTTAATTATACTTCATAGAGGTTCAATGACTAAATTATGTGTTTCTGATAGAATAGCTTCAGGAAGCATTCAAGCCTTAGGGATGTTACACAATAACTTTTAGTTTATACATTAGCTTCTGAGAAGCTTATTTATCCACACTGCTTTTTCAGGTAGATTCACCATGCAGAAGGTCAAGGAGACCTTTCTCTTTGCTGTCTGTTCAGAAGGACCAGATAGATTAATAACTTCTCAAGGTATCAATAATCTTATGCTCTCCTTCATCCAACATTATTGAAACTTGTTTAATCAGGGTGAAGTTACCCTTGTGGCTACCCAGCTTCAGCAAGTGGTGGTTGTGGGTTAGATGCAAGACAGCTTGGACTATTAACATCTCCTAAATGCCTTCCCCAAATCAAGAATATTACCATCACATCTTGGCCATTGTCCTGCCATGGTAATGACATATCAATTGTTTGAAATCCTCCATGGGATTGTAGCCAAATAATAGATTCCTTGCTGGAATGAAGTATTTCACTCAATTGGTTTTGAGTGCTGTTGTGTTGATGCAGTTCTCTGCCAAAGTGAAGCACCCTCTTGCCTTTATTGGATTAGTAAGGGATTGTTCTGGAAAGCGATGCTGTTATTATACCATGACTTTTTGAAGGAGAACCTCTGCAGGTAAATCTAGTGTTGCACAAAGAAAGATGAACCAGGAGGGTTGTTTTCTTGCTTTTCTGAGGCTGAGTGCAAGAACGCAAATCACAGAGAAGAGCCTCATGCATTCCAAGCACAACTGAGGGCAGCCATTCCTGGCAATGGGGCAGGCCTGCACGACCTCACGGCTTCGTGGCTTTGCCATCAGCCACGTAGGAGAGCTGAGCTGCCAGCAAGGGAAAATGGGGACTGCGGCCGCCTGGGAGCTTGCTCCAGGTGCGGCGTCCCTCCGTCGTCTCTTTCTGTGGCACCGCCACGTCTGTCAGCTCTAAGCGCCGTGCCGAGGCACCTTCACCGCGAAGCGCTGATTTAACTCAAAGTCCTTTCTCCTTTACGCGGAGCCGCGCGGAGGACGGGCTGTCAAAGCCCAGCGCTGAGGTGAGATGCCCACACGCAGCCGTGCCACGGGCGCGCTGGGGCGGCGGGGCTGCGGCACTGAGGCGGGCGACCGACGCCGCGCCTCAGCTCAGCGGCAGCGCGCCCAGCGCCGGGCTCAGCTCTGCGCGGCGCCCCGCCGGATGGTCGCACGAAGATTTTTCGAGACGGCACAAACGTGGAACGCAGAGCGCGCGGTGCCAGCAGAGCGGTGTGCCAGCAGACAGCCCTCCCTCGGCACGGTTATATAAGGATCTCGCGTCAGCGCTGATGTTTTGGTACCCTGCGTAAATAAAAGTTGCCGTGAGGAGAGAGGAGCCCTGGGGGATTCCCGCGCCGCCCGGTCCCCACGCGCCGTCCGAGGCACGGCTCGCTCCCGACGGCGGGAGGAGACCCGGGGCGGCCAGGTGCGCGGCTGCTGCCCGCCGCGCTCGCGCACGAGGCGAGGCGAAGCCCTGCTCCCCCGGCGCCTCCCCGAGGCAGAGGACGCCGCTCTCCCGCCGCGCCCCCGCCCCGCCGGCCTCAACCTCCCGCGGCATTCTGGGGACTGTAGGCGGCCGCCGCCTCCGCCCGCGCCGCCGCCGCCCGCCGGGGCTGGGGCGGGACTGCAGCTCCCAGCGGCCGCGGGGCAGCGGAGCTCGGCCCGGCCCGGCCGAGCGGCGGCGCGGAGAGGAGGAGCCGCGTTCCGCCGAGCGGGCCCGTAGTCCCGGCGCGGAGGGGAAGGGGCCGGCTGCGGCGGCGGCCAATGCGAAACTGGCTGGTGCTGCTGTGCCCCTGTGCGCTCGGGGTCGCGCTGCACCTCTGGCTGCTGCTCAGCTGCCCCGGCGGCCCCGGGAGGCGGCCGGCAGGTAGGGCAGGGGCTGCTCGGAGGCGCTCCCGCGGCGGGACTGGGGCCGAGCGGGGCGGGAAGCCGGGAGCCGCGGCCGGCCGTTAAACGGCTGCCGGCGGCGGCGAGGGGCCGCGGCTGCTTCCAGCGCTGGCTGCCGACCGACCGGCAGCGCGTCCCGCTGCGCGCCGCTCCGGGACGGGCAGCCCGCGCCAGCCGGTCCTGCGGGGCGGCGGAGAGCTTCTTATAGGGTTGGGGTGCGAGCCGGAGCGAGTGAAAGCAGAGCCCTAAGGGCCGCGTTGCGTTCTTCGTCGTGCTACCTGTGGTTTTCAGGCCGTGGATCTGCACGGCGGGTGGAAATAAGTGTCTGCTTGGGGAGAAACTTCTGTCAGACGCCCGTAGGTGCTGTCTGGGAGCGTTAAGAAATGTTCTTTTTATAGGATGTCTGGGAAACGATCCGGAGATAACAGCGTATTTTGTCCTCGAGCTCTGTTGGGAGACCCAGCAGCCCATTGGGTGACAGAGCCATGCTTTGGGGCAGGTTCTGTACGCAGCGGTGCCGAGTCTGCAGGCCTCCAGTACTGCTGGGTACCGCAGGTGTGGGGCGAGCAGGGTGGGAGCTGGGGTGCTCTGGAGACATGGTGTGTGGCTGTGCCTGTGTGCCCCTTATGGAAGTGATTCTAAGTTGTCACAGGAGTTGTTGTTCTGAGGCTGAGGTTCCTCTGGATGCTGGGGGTCACTGTGTCATTCGTCTTCCATGGTGCAGCCCTTGTAAGCTCAGCATGTGGGAGCTGCAGGTGGCTGTGTGAAATCTCGTAGAATCACAATCATAGAATCATAGAAAGGTCTGGGCTGAAAAGGACCACAGTGATCATCTGTTTTCACCCCCCTTGCTATGTACAGGATCGCCAGCCAATAGACCAGGTTGCCTGGAGCCACATCCAGCCTGGCCTTGAATGCCTCCAGGGATGGGGCGTCCACAACCTCCATGGGCAACCTGTTCCAGTGCATCATGGTGACGTTTTCTGTTGAGATTTCTAAAGCAAATGCAGAGGTTTCTCAGCTTTGGATGGGGAAGAAGCTTTGCTGTTCTGGGATTTCTTGTTAGCATTTGTGTTGGAGTTTGTGCATGTTACCATGAAACTATATTGCATTCAATAGTGCTTTTTTTTTTTTTTTTTTTTTGGTAGAAGGACAATAAGCATGCATTTAGTTTGTGCAAGGGTTGTAGTTAATTGAGTGATGTATCAGGGCGGAGGGAAGGAAAACTGACACTTCTCATAAAAGGTAAATTTCCATCGTTGGTAGAAAAATGCTCAATATGAGATATGTGCTCTCCACAGGCCTGGTTTTCATGTTGTTTTTTAAGGAGGACTCTGCCCTCACAATAAGAATAGATTTGACTGTGGGACAATGTTTTATAGTAGCTGTGACATAGAACCACGTTATCTGTGTATTCCCCGGTGTTTCATTTTCCTGTGTAGTGTCTCAACAGTTGCAAAAACTGCCCCAGCACAGATTGAAAGCAATAGAAGAGCAGTTCTACTTTTTGAGAAGTTTTTTCCTCTCAGGAACCATTGTGCATGCATACACATAGATGCAGAATGGAAACTTCTATTAAAATCTGATGGCCTGATAACAATTATTTACCTTGACGCAACTGACTCATGAACACAAGACTGAAAGAGCCATCTCTGACTACCCATTGTACTCAACCTTTCTAATAAGCAGCTCTTAATCTTCATGTTTAAATGGCAGCTCTATAGTCTATGTTTATCTAAAAAAGGGTTGGGGCTGCTATGTTTGTTCGCTTGGATTTTAATTGCCTTAGAAAGGGCTGTTCCAGGAGCTTACGGTTTTGCTTGTCCTGCTTCTTCTGCTTCTCCTTCATTGGAAGAGCCTCCTTTAATAAAACCTTCTTCCTGACTGCCCATGTGAAAGGCTGTAGCCTGCCTGCACACGTAGGCCTGCTGTGGCATGTGGTTGTCCTCTGTGTTCATGATGACTTTCACCCCACTGCTGCAGAAGCCAGTATACTGCCATATACCTCTTGTACACTGTACTTATTAACTGGAAAAAGTAAATAGGATCAGCCCTGAGATGAAAGGCACTGGCTGCTGACATAGTGTCCTGACTCCTGGCTCTCTGCTCCTTTTCTTCACCAGTGAATGGGGCTGTAATTCGTGCTTCTGAGCAAGATGTGCAAGAAGATGCATTTAGGTTTAACTGAAGTCTGACTGGTTACAAACAGGTTCTATCCAAAGGAAATTTCGTGGGTAGGAAGTTTTGGTTAATTTTTGTAAAAGTCATGGATAGCAGCTAATTATAAAATGACCTCAGAAACTTGAGAAAGAACAGACAGACCTGCTTTCCACACTCCATGTGGGTTCATTGCTAATTGTGGGTTTTAATTGATGGCACGATTCTAATTGATAGGAAATAAGAGCCTTCAGTTACTGCACCTAATCAAATGCCCCACAGGTTCAGTGTAACAAACTGCTTTGCTGATGGTAATGCCTTTTCAGACATAATTCCAGTTGTGTTTCTGTGGGTATGTGGCAGCTAAAATGTGGCCCTTGTGGTTCTGTTAAAGTCAGTCTTTTACTAGTGAATATTACGGAGCAGATTAAGAAACACCATTTTTTTTGAAGCTGCTTGTGTGCCATCTGTTGTCCTGTGGTTCAGCACGTACTTTTCCAGCACTGTCCTAATGGATCCACATACAGAGTTGGTTATGCTGGCAATTAGTGACTTGCCTCACAGAACCAGGACCATGTCCTGCATGGACTGGCCTGTGCACTTGTCAGATGAGAGAGCAGGGAGAGCTGAACCCACTGTTGGCTTTTTGACATGGAAATAACAAAAAGTAGAAAAATCATGTGGTTATGAATAAAACTTTGCTTTGTAAGGAGAAATTCTGCCAAAAAGAGAGAACGTTAAGAAGAAATGTTCTTGGCATCTGTTAACCCTGTCTGTCAGAGAGCAGTATATTGCTTGATCATAGAGTTGTTTCATCTTTTGTAGGCATGTTAAGGCTGATTAGTCTGATGGCCTTGGAGATTGAAACTGTCTGGCAGCAGGAAGGCTTGGTGTTGGCTCTCTAGCTGTGTGGTTCTGCCTGAGATGTCCGTTGTTCCCTGCCTCAGTCCATAAGATCTGATCAGAACATTATTTTCAGGGTTGGGCCAGGCCAAACAAAACCAACTCTCTCACCTTTGATGAGCATGAGATAATTGTCAATCCAATATTTGTCAACTGAATTGGGATTTTTTTTTTTTTTTTTTTTTTTTTTTTTGAGTCTTGCAACTGTTCTATCTGATACATTGCAAACTCCTGATAAGCAACATTAGAAATGCATTTTAATGCATTTTGGCATTAGAGCAAGAGCCAAAGGATGCCCACCAGTTGTGTCATAGCTGAGCAGCCAGGGTAGTGGCTGAAGGAAGCTCTTCTAAATTGCCTACTGACTAGGACAGCCACAAGGAAGCAAGCATCCTTCTCTGGGAGCTGGCTTGGTACTCAGAGGTTGGTAATTACTCTTCAACAGGTAAAGGTGCTGCTCATCACTTCAGGTGTCGCAAAAAGGATTTGCTTTGATCCTTTTGCCTCTACACTTCTGAGGCTTGGCCTGGAATAGTGCGAGTGCTGTATGGTTGATGGTGTTCAGAGCACTGTCGGCCTGCCAGTATTGCAACTGCTGCTTTGCAATGCTATAGGACCCCACTGTTCTATTTCCTTAAAGGAATTACATTAATGTAAAATAAATAAATAAATCTTCTGCCTGCAGAGGTTTTCCTCATTGAATCCATAAGTGCTTAAAAGCTTGCTTAAAGGCTTGTCTGTGTTAAGGAGTACCACGCTCCTGCAGAGCAGTGTGTGTGCACTTCTTGTTAGTTTTTAGCTCTGGTTTAACGTAGGTCCTGCAATGAGGTCATGCAGCTCTGCTCACACAAAAACCTGTAATGCAGATGAGCTACAGCAGATTACTTTAAGTGAAGAAGTTTAGAGGTGGAGAGAGAGCTGCTTTTGCTCTTTGGTTTGTTCTTTTTCTGTGTGTGTCAGCACTCTGTGAATACAAACCTTCTTTATATTCAGTTAATTCCTTCCTCCGTGTTTGTTTGGATCTTTCAGAAAGCAGCACAGATGAGAAAGGCATTTA